AATATCGTTTTAGTTATTTGTTTCTGTAAAACTGACACCTAGAGTTGGAGGGGACTAAATGGGAACAGGCATTTTTGCAGGTGTCCTGGAAACAGCTTGGAGCATGGAGGGAATGTCCTTTTTATTTCCCATATTCAGAGCAAGGATCTGTACAAACTGTCACTCCACAGATGGTAGGAAGTAAATGCCATGTTAAAGGATGCCATGTCCTTGTTTGTTGACTGCGCCATTACACTACCATTCTGCCCAAATCCATTTGGATGGTAGTATTGTCTTTATATTTGGGAAAAAGAGAATTCCTTTTAGGGTCTCACTCCCTTAAGCTCCTGGCTGCTTTTTGCAAAATAAGGCTGTGCCCTGAAGGGGCAGTAATCCCTTAATTGCTTCAGGCATCCTGCTCAGATATGACACCTTGTTAGAGGTGAAGGACTTTGAACCAAAGGGAACTTTTTAAGGGCTATGTGCCATAGACTTTCAAACAGAAACACCTCTGCACTTAAGCGTTGGATGTCCTACTGCTTCAGTGCTAAGTCTCTTAAGCTGTAAAATATGCTGCAAAAGAATAGTTCTTTCAATTACTAAATAATTACCCAAAGTCTAGTAAGGTTTTAATGGGACTGCAGTTGAATCTTAAATGAGGACTGACCTTTAAAGCTAAATAAAAAATGGAGGTATTCGGCTGTTCTCTGTAGAGGCTGGGGCTTCAGGAGCAATGGCAGAGTTCAGTTTTACAAATTCCAGTTCAGCCACTATTGTTAAGAGTTAGTCACTTAAAGTCGTATTTGTACCTCATGAAAGTACATTATGTTGCCCTGCATACAGTGACATGATGCCTACTGTAGTCCCACCATTTAATAGACTGGAAAAAAAGAAAACTCATTAAAAGTTAGGGAATTTTTGACCATTGTGCTTATAGTACTTTAAGCTGCTGTCTCATGGTGCAATGAAGGCCTCTTATAGTGAGGGTAGTTAGTCACTGGAAAAACTTCCCAAATGGAGGTGGAATTTTCCTTCACTGGAACTGTCAGTGAAGTGTCTGCCCTTTTAAAGCAAGGGTATTTTTGCGGCTGCCATCACTGGCTCTTGGTTTCTGCTACCTGTCTCAAGATTGGTGTGTCTTTAATTTGTTGTTGTTCTTTTTTTTTTAAGCCCAGCTTCTCTCTTGAGCTAGAGTGCTTTTCAGGAGAAAGAAAGAGAAATTTTGTGGTCTGTATTCAGCAAGGGATCCTAGATGACCTTAACAGTCATGTCTGGCCTTTAAATCTGAGACAGTCCTGAAGAGATGATTCACCTGTTTCAAATATACATCGAATGAGTGGGAAAGCAGTATTTCCAACTGAACTTAAGTTTTTATGACACCTGGGCTTACTTTAGAGGTAAGAATTTATTGTCTGGTCCTGCACTAGTAGAATATTTGGAAGGCCTTGAGAGCACTGTAACAACAAATACCGCATTCACAATTCCCCTGATGGGCTGATTTTCCTAATAGCACACATTTGGGGAAAATAACCTCTGATGTACCAGCAAGATTCCAGATGACAGCATTAGTGCACCTGCAGGTTTTAATTGGTGCAAAAAAGGGGAAAATATGTGGTACCAATTACTCTCTTGAAGCCTGAGAATCAAGGATGTTTTTTGGCAAGGAGGCTTGTAATTCCACCATCAAATTGCTCACAGCGTGGAATAAACATGGTCTGCATTATTTATCAAGCATTAGACAATTTTTGACTTGTAAAACTCTGTATGAGAGAGGTGAGTCTTTAACACTGGACCTACTGCAAAGTTAATTATAAGTAGTATGTCTATGTTGCAGATTTAAGGGTGTACAAGCACTAGTGAAATATTGTAATTAAATACAAGCTCCCAATCCAGGGAGTAATCTAAATATGGCAATAATTGGGTAGCTAAAAAATATGCATTGATGAGAAGATGATTATTATGTGCTGGAGAATTTCACTGGTAATTCTAATCTTCTAAAATGAGCTGCACAAAATTCAGCTAATCTTTAACTTAAATTCCCCAGCAAGAGAAGAGCAGTCAGTTTGTGGGTTGGAGCTAAATGCAGATGACATTTCTTGCTTTATTCTAATAAATAGCATTTTAAAAAAGTTGTGAATGACACTGCAGAGCCTCCTCAGAACTTAATAAGATATTCAGAGTATCTGGCCACCCTGTTGAGGGAAAAAGATTCACAGTGTTAAGTCCTTTTTGTTAACATTCGTCTTAACTGCAGTGAATGCCAAGTTTTTCCATCTGTGGGAATGAGACTTCACAATGAGAACTCCAGTTCCTCATATAGAAGTTTAGATGGCAGTTCAAAATGGAGAGAACCAAGGCCTCCAGCATTTGTATTTTTGGATGAACAGACATGAACTTTGTACATTGCACCCATCACTGTTTCCTGCTTGCTTGCTGTGGTGGCAACAGCTGGACTGAAGGGCAGCATATCCCTCGTAGATGTGAGCCAGTTCAGCAGCCTGTGCTTGGGTTTGGTAAATGGTACTCTTTTTACCACATCTTTGGGCTATGCTTCATCCTTACAAATGTAGCACCTGGCTTTTACTGTATGATGTAAACAAGAGCCCATTAGTGAAAGGAAAGTTTAGTAAAACAAAAAATATCCCACATTTAATGCAAGGGCTGTTGTACTGTGTTTGTGCATGGTTTACCATATACTCATTATCCTCCTTCCTGTAGCCTGCTGCACTGTATGCGTTCCTCTGTGCCCTCTGGTTGCGAGGGCTCCGCTGAGCCAGTGTGGGTAAAATCACTCCTGATGTTTCTTTTTAGCAGTGGTTATCTGGAGTTAAGCTGGGGGGGAGGCAATTAGGGCCTCTGTCTCTTCATCCCTTCTGACATTTGTATGAAAGAACTACGTACCAAATGCTCTTGTGGGTTGAGTGATTCCCTCAAATGATGCATTCAGCTTGCTAGCAAGACGGGAGTATCACTGCTTTCAGGTTGTAGAAACAAGAAGGTATTGGGCTGGCTGGAGGAGCAATGGCCAGGCTTCTGCCTTCAGCCCCTGCAGAGTCAGTAGACTTAGCAGCTCTGGAAAGATCTAAGCGTAGCACCTGAATCTTCAAAACACAAGATGGAACTGCACAGGAAAGGTACTTGTGTGTTGGTGGTGGCTACCGTTCCTGCATCACAGCTGTGGTAAGAGATCAGACGTGGGGTACTGACAAATTGATCAGCCTGAGCAGCTACAGGGCCAGGTTTTAACAACAGCATTATGCATTGTGAAACCCCTCATCAGTCCTGCAGCTCACTTAAAGGCAGTCTAAGTTGCCTTTACTTTTCGTTCAGAACCCAAAACTGCTCAGGTGGGGCTTCTTGAGGTGTCCCAGGTACCTCCATCTTACAGTTCTGAAGCACCTCATGTATGAGGTTAAGTATCAAGCTGCTTAGGTCTTTCAAGAATAAAAAGATGGCTTAAAGCCTTTGTGTATTTGTATGGTGCTGAGAATGGCATTCCTATGGACTCAGGTGCCTTTTGGTGCTATTCAGAGCTGTTCTGCCCACCTTACTGTTTAAACTAGGCCTTGTGTAAGGGTTAGGTACCTCATTTGTGTGCATCAAAGCCTTAATCATGTGTAGAGTAACTGGGCCTGTCTGCCTCATGCAGACACAGTGTGAGGTCTAAGATGTGTTCAATCAGTGCAACCTCATACCTAGTTCCAGATTTTATTTCTGACCATCATGTCTGATTTTTCTGTAGGATAGGCCCATACTTAAAACCACCACATATTGCAGTAAGCCTTATTAATAACAGCAGACCATCTCCAAAATGATAGAGAAATGTAACATGGGTGAGTTTGTGCTGTCATCTTCAATTTATATTTTTTGTCTTTGTTACTGTTGATTTTGTCTTTCTTACCGTTGTCACCGTTGGGTTTTTTCAACACTCTATGTTACAGTAACAAATCTAAGGCCAAAATAAAACTGCATACACATGGCTAGAAAAGGAACTAATTTTTGAATCTCACCTTGACACCTGCTCTGCCATGCTTGTGCCTCAACAAAGGAGTTAGGGGATGCCTTTTCTGGCAGCCACCCTGTGCAGCAGGAGATTGGGCTTCATGACATACAGCTGTCCCAAAGGAGCTATGCTCCAGTGGCTTGAACCGAGTCAGAACTATGAGGCAGGTGCAGTATCCTATGGTGCAGTACCAGAGGCCATGAAGATAAACATTAGTTAATCACATAAGATGTGGTGCTGGGGGAAAGTGATGTTGCTGGGCCTCAGTCCATGCTAAGCAGATACAGCAACTTGCCGCTGGAAGGATTTGTGCAGCTGTTTCCCAGTCTGGTTTAGTGTGCTTAAGCTAGATACACAGATTAATTTAGGTTGATTAGACCTACTGGAATTAATTACTTTTCATGGAAATTAATTCAAACTTAAGATAAAGATGTGAAAATTAGAGGCCTCAGTGGCTAACTGAGTATGGGCAAGTTTTCAGTGCTTTCCACAGCCATCTGTTTGCCCTGCCTCCACACAAGGCAAGGTTTAGGAAGACAAAGCAGCGATGGTTTGTCATAGTAGACTGCCATGCAAAAGCCCCCAGGGCAGAAACAGGGCTGGTGGCTATTAGTAAGAGTCCTCTACCTACCTGTATAACCTCCATTCTTCATTTGCAGTGACGCACTTCATGAGCAGGGTGGTAAGAGGTGAGGTACACTCTGCCAGAAATGGTCAGAAGGGAGCAGGCAAATTCAATTTCCTCTTCCACATTGCAGCTGGATGCTGCAGGAGACACTAGTAGGGCCTGAACTGCACTGAAGACCACATGTCTTGAGGCTGTACATGAATACTTTGCTTTTGCCCTTGTAAATGTGAACAAAATTTTGCCTAGGTTGTGCCGAGCTTTACAAACAATCAATTCATCAAGATCTGAAGTGAAAGAAAAACAATAGATATCTCATTTTCATAAGGCAGAAGGCAATTGAGAATACAAAAAAAACCAAACAACACCCAAAGACTGCTGCCACACAAAACATACTTGGATCATTTTATTTTCAGCAGGTGTTACTTAGTTCAACTACTTAAATCTGAAGTGTGGCTCAGTAGGAAGCTCAGAATGCAACTGTGTATCGCCTAAGAGTAATGAGGCTTTAGCTACAGCAGCTCTTGTTAAATCTTTCTTGTTAACTGGGACAGGCCAGCCTGGCTGCACATCACCCTGTTGAGCATTAGAAACAATCTATGATACTTACAGTAAAGATGAATGGCAAGACACTGATAGCTGCAATGTTTTTGATTAAAACAATAATGAGAATACGGCACATGTGTGTTTAGACGCTGTCATAGAGGCAGGATTTGTTGTAGCCTTTAGGCTTCCAAAGTAGTCACTCATTCTTGTAAATCAGTGTTCGTCAAACTTCACAAAAGCGTGGCCTCCCTTTTTACATCATCTGTCTTCATGCAACTATTAAGTTGGCTGCAGCTCAGTTTCTCTGGGGGTGGGAAAGCAGGATGGTCTGTAATTACTGGCTACAGGTGTTATATGGACACTGAGCTGCGTCCAGCAATTAAAGGCATTTAGCTGCTCCCTTCCTAATCCAAACACTTCCAGACAATAATTACAGCCTGCACTGCACTTTCCTGTCTTTGAGGAGGATTCCCCTGGGCCCTTTTGCTACTTCCAAGGGGGCTGTTGCCTGAAATTTGAGAGACACTGCTGTAAACCAACCAGGAGCACGAGATAATGTACAAGAGCAGCTGTTTATGCAAAGATGCTTTCTTTGCAAATAAGGTGCACCGTATGCTTTGAAGGCTTTCCATGCACTGGATACTTTTTCTCGTGTTTGACTTCTGTTAATCTGTGTACATGGCTCGTTCACACAATATTTCAGTATGGCTGAATATGCAGCATATCAATCTGTGATGCTATGTTGCTATTCAGAATTACCACCTGCACAACATGTTAAAGAAAAATAAGAGATTTGCCGTTGGAAAGAAACTCAACAAAAATCAGATGTAGCTCTAAGTTACAGTATATGTTGTACTATCCTCTTACATATTCACTGCCCCTGTTCAAAGCTGCCTTTTCCTATATGTTATATATCAAATGCCAATTAGTTTGCATGCAATCAGCTGTTCAGTTATGGAAGGAAAGAGATGTCTTGTGTGCTTTTCACTGAGTTGTGTTAATATTTTCCACTGTATTGATCTGTGATTCCAGCCATTCCAGGGGAAGGAACGTTGAACAAGTTGTAGTCATTGTTCTAGGATTTACAAGAACCTGAGATGAAGTGGCACTGTGTGTTTTTTAGGACATCTTACAAACCCTACCCACGCCACGGCCTTTAGCTGAAGAACATCTGCTCCTTAGTGTTCTTGTGTAGAAGTTAGAAAAATAAACATTTGGAGGTTGCTTGTTACATCTGAAAGAACCTAAACCCCTGTGCAGCTCCCTGACCTGACTCTGTCTTTAATGCAAAGAACCACATGGCCCTTGCGCTAGAAATGCTCCTTATTGCTCCTCAGAAAGGCTTTGCTGGGAAGCAGTGTCTTCCAGGGCCATATCTTCTTGGCTGGCCCTCCTGCACTCCAGGTTCTGACTCATGAAGATGGCATGGGCTGGACCTGCCTCTCGCCTCGGTCTGGGTTCTGTAGCATCGGTTGCTTCACAAGTTTCGGTGAGTTGCTGGAAAGAAAGGAAAGGTCAAGTAGTTTAGGAAACTTCTGAATAACACTTCTGCTAAATTTTGAAGTGACAGGTGGAAATCTGAATATTGATTTAGGAATGTCATTCTCTGAAACTGCATAGGACTCTCAACCTGTGTTATTCACAAGGGATTTTGTGTCACATGTACTTGGAAACACATGTATTTGGAAAGTAAAGCAGACCAGGAGCTTGAGGTTTAGTACCACAGATATACATGCAGAGAGAGCTGTAAAATAATTTAGAGTGGAAAGGACTTTTGGCAGTCATCCAGTCCAAACCACTGCTAGAAGTAGGGCTCACTTCTAAGAAATTAAATCAGGTTGCTCTGGGGCTTGCTTTATACACCAAATTTTAAACCCAGCTTACAAAGAAACCTTTACATCAAAACAGGAATGCAATTATCAGTCTGGAAACGTTATGCACTCCCACTTTAAGGAGTCCATTAGTATAAAAACTTTCCAGAACTGTGCTGTGTTAACCTTTAAATGAAACACTTCCTCCACTTTCAGCCAAATAGACACCTGGATTCTGCGCAGTTACTTTGGCCAGGATTCACCTCATCTAAATTGAATCATGTAGTGTATCATCTGAGCGGTCAATGGCTGGCAGACAGATATGAGTGTCCCAGGGGAAAATTTCTTTCTGAGACCTGTAAGGCTGAAGTAGGTTGTCCTTTCCACTGAATACAGAGGCCACAGCTACAATCTACTGTGACTTCAGGCCCAAATTTTAGATGGCTTAAAGTTAGACAAGGTGAATCCTACTGTGAGTACTCAGTATTGCAGACTGGCTCTGTTCTTGCAAATTAAGCTATAAACTCTTTGAGAATTGGAATTATGCCTTGTCATTTGATACATTCAGCTTTATATGTAGAAATATTATTAATGTTCATTAGAGTAATAAAGCAGGACTGAACCCAGATGAGTAATGCTCAGTCAGCTTCTGCTGCAGTTCGTGGCAAAACTCCAGGGAAATAATACCAATCCTACTATTTTGGGGTGTGAGCAAAATACACACAGACTAAGGAACGTTTTTCACTTGAGGTTTAGAGAATTCTTTGAAAATTAGGAAAGATACACACAGTTCAGAATGATAGTAGCAGAAAAGTGATTTGGACTTTCTATATCCCTGTCTCCCCCTGTTGTCAATTTGGTCTCCATTTTAATAGGCCAAATGCAAAAGTCTGTCTTAAGTATGTTGTCACTCAGCTTGTAGTTGCAGTTGCCCTTTTATCTCTAGTCCGTCTTCTCACATTACTGCTCTGTAGTGCTGTGATGAAAGTTTCAAAATTCAGGATAGCAATTCATAGCAACCGCAGTTAAATAAATGTACTTAAGTAGACAATAAAACAATAACACTACTGTGTGCACTGAATTTTCCAGGGAAGATGGGAATAGAAATGGGAGCCTACTGGGAAGAGGGCTGGAAGTTCTTTGTGTGAACTGTTTTGCTGTTAGCAAATGCTGAATCACAGGGCATTCAGGTTTCCTTTGGGAAATACTTCCTACAGATTTCTTTGACTAACCCTTTCAGCAACAAGGTTTTCACTTCCTGGATTGAATTTCTGATGAGAGCGAGGGACAGAACAAGTGCCCTGTTGACTGGGAATGGTTCCTATTTGAACAAATAATTAAGTCCTGCATAAGCAGGGAAGGAGCTATTTAGTCTGCTTATGATGGCACTCATCACCTGGACTGCAGAAAATGGAGACGTAAGTCCCTGGTCTTTAGTGTAAAGTAGAGGGACTTTTCCCCATTTTGCAATTTCAGGTAATACTTAACAGCTACCCTGCTGTTAAGTATGCAATTACTTACATCACTCTCATATACATGCTAATATTAAACAGTCTCATTTTCACTGTGATGCAGCAAACTCCAAAACAAATACCAAGGTTGTTTTCTGACCAGTGAGAAGGAAGAAACCAAATAGTGGTGAGGACTGTTAAAGAACCTGATAGGACAGCAGTATAGAAGTTCACAGTTCATTCTGCTATTTTGCCTTCAGCCTTACCCGAGTTGTTTGACTTGCTGCTCTAGCAGATGGACCCATGGCAATATTCATACTGCTGGACGACTGGGTGTCACTGGTGTTACCCCCATCTGCAGCTGAGAGCCCAGAAATCACCAAAGCACTTGAAAAACTTCTCTTGCCGAACAGCAGGCTGAGAGTTGAGCTGGTGGAAGAGGCCAGACTGGACCTGAGCATTGCTGCAGCTCTGTCCTGCACAGTCAGCTGGCCTGCAACAGGAACAGCTGGGGGCTGGGAAAACACGGATGTTGCTGAGTTGTGGAGTGACAGCTGACTACTAGAAAGCCTTCGGGCAATTTCATGGGCAGATGTAGATGTCTGGATGAAAGGCTGGCGGTTTTCTACAATGGGTCCAGAGTGACTGGAAGCAGGAGGCCTTTGGTTTAAAGCAGTGTGTGCCTGGATGGACTGACTCCTGGGTTTTCTTCTGCCTTTAAAAGAAAGATTAATATATTTAAGTAAGTGGCGTCCTGATGAACTCCATGCTAACAGTGTCCCACTTCTGCATATTACTATTAGCATATCACTGCCAGTTTTGTCAGTGTAAGAATCCCAAGAATACCAGAAATAACAAATGGCTAAACCCATGAACCTTTCTGTGTTTTCCACTACAGGCTTTTGGGCAGAACAGCTCCAGTGGTTTTGCACTCAGTCAAAAGAGAGGAAAATGAGAAAGACAGCCCAAGGAGAATGCTCTAATCACAGGCTCACACCTATTCTGCCATGTACATTTTAACCTGCTCATTGTGTTGTTATAAATCCACTCCCCTTTGACAACCACACTGAAGTAGGGGACGGTGACTTTTATGTCTTGGTATAATTAAATGCAACAGTAAAATAAGAAAACTGTGAGTTAAAACAGTGGCACATTAAGAAGAATTATTCCTGCATATATGGGGAAAGAGAAATTGAGAATTAAACCAAGTGGAAGACTGAAGCATTTAGATAGTTGTTAAGACTAACATTAAACTATGTCTGAGTTCCAAGAGTGATATATATATAATATATCACAGACTGAAGAGATGTGAACACCTTGAGTTAGGGTAGTCTGTTGGAGGTCTGAATGAGACCCATATAAGGCTCTTGAAGTGTCTTAACTAGAGAGTTGGATACAGAGAGTATAAGATAAGCTCTTGTCACGTGCCTGGACAACTATCTTCCTGAACATATATACCCCCATTTTTAACACTGATATCAACACCTTGTATCATTCAAACAAGTAATTTCTGTATTTCTTATGCTTGCATAGTTAAATAGGCATAGAATGAAAATGAATCAACTTATTGGTCAGTCAACACACCAGAAACCCAAGCGCTCTGCAGACGGCACTCAGCAGGTTGGCACACACAGCGAGCCCTGAAAGAGTGTCCTGTTTCTGATGACAGGCTCTAGCCCAGGTTTACACAGCACATACCCAGTCATGCAAGTGCCTGCTTGGCTTTTCTGCTTTCCAGGAAACTCCAAATATTAACATAAGCTGGCATTTTGGTTTCCTTGCTATAGCTGTGGGGTAGAGAGTTGATGCCAGAAATTCTGTTGAGAGCCATCAGCACAGAAACAAGTGTTTTTGGCAGGTATTTCTAGGTTGGTAATTTATTTTTTTTCCCAATACCCAAACTATGGAGGGAAGCATTGAAACTCCTCCAGACAGTGAAAGTTTGCAGGCATAAAGGAATATAAATCTCACCCTATCTTCTAGAAACATGACTGTTTGCTGCATTCATGAGGATTCTAGTAATGCAGAATTTCATATCCAGACTATTCACATTATATAGTTGAAACATGCTGTTTTACATCCACAGACCCACATTCCAGAGGCTGGTATCATTAGCCCCATTTTTCAGATGCTGATGCAAAGGGAATTTAGGTTATTTGGTAGAAAGTCAGATGGCAGAACTGGGCTACAACCTAACTGGAGCACTTTAGGAGGACTAAAACCTAGCTGGTTTGGCAAGCACTGGACACTTTCACACCCCTTTTACACTGTATCTTTAGTTCTTTTTTTACTTTAAACAATAAAATTTTCCTAAGACAGCATGCAAAGCAACATTCTCCATAATAAAAGCCCCAGCATCTCTGCTTGAGAGCAACAGGATAGATGCATGTGGCTCCTGTGTGCCACGTTCCCAATGTCCTTGGCACTTAGATGTGATCAACAAGGAGGGCACACACTGCACTGGGGTCAGGCCTGGCTGCTGCGCAGGCAGCTGAGCGCATGTCTGGCCTCCACAGGGATTCAGTTTCTTCAGACCCTGGGGTTTTGCTGAAGTGCTTTGATTTCTACATCTGATGGTTATTTGAATACGTTACCCTTTCTGAGTAAAAAGAACAGACTGGAATTAAGAACAGAGGGGCTGCAGTGTGTTAGTTTGTGCAGGGGCTAACGTGGCCAAACATCTGTTTGTGATTTAAACTGCCAAGCTGACCCCTGTCCAAAAGTATTCTATATTCATCCCAAATGCAGTGGTTAGAGCATTGGACAGGAGACCACCCGTGTCTACACATAAATAACTCTTGTCCCTGAAAACACTTAGGAAACAAAGGCTGTTCTATAAACTGCATCATGAAATAAGGACACTTTGGGGAAGAACCCCACACGTATCCACCAATGCTCCTGATTTTGGTTGCACTTTTATATAGGGCTTTCATTGCATTTGCAGACTCAGTGGCACCAGGTTGCAAAATGAAATATGAAATATGAAAACACTAAATGCACTCAATTCATAGATTACGAGTCTAGAAGGGATTGATGTGATCATGTAGTTTGCTGTGCTATATAGCATGGGCCATAGAACTGCCTGGAATTAACGTCTGTGTGGTATTACTGATTGCTACTGCGATTTTTCAGAAATGCATCCATTATCTCCAGTCATGGAGAACCCTCTTTAACCCTTAGTCACTTGTTTCACTATTTATTTACTGTCACTTTAAAAAATATGTTCTTGATTTCAAATCTGAATTTGTTTAGCTTTGTTACATCCAAGTCTCCTTGAATCAGCAGTCTTTGGGCATCTTTTGTTGCGCAGGTAAGTACTTACAGACTATGATCAAAGCATCTGTTATAATATAAATTGTTTGAAAGCTCTTAATCTTTCCCTACAGGATGTATTTCCCAGATCTTTGATCATTTTTTGGCTCTTCTTTGAACCTCTTCCAAATTAAAAATGTCCTTCTAAAATTAGGGCACTAGGACTGTGCATAGCAGGCCAACAGCATCCTGAACCAAAGTCAGATTGACACAGACAGATTGATGCATTATCCAAGTAACCCTATCATTCTGGTTTTTAAGCAATGGGCATAGCGTAAGTTCTTTCCCCATCCTCTGGAGCTGCCTGAAGTGTCCTGATACCTACTGAAGATCAAAAAGAGCTTGCTATTTAACCAGCTCTCTCTTAAAAACCTTACTGAGTGAGAGTCATTTGGATTTGCTCAGTTAAGCATATAGCTTTTATAGCAACTCCTTCATGTTCTTTGTAGCTGTTGGGATGGAAGGAACTACTTCATGTTCAGATCATAGAAACAGGTCATCTGCATTTTTCCCAATAGAAACCAGACATTTCTCATTTCTACGCCTTGGAAACTCTGCCATTCTGTATAGTGGTAGATTGAGATGACTGTTCAGGATTTTCTTCTAGTAATCTCTAAAAATAAAAACCCATAAACCCAGTTTCATCTTTTTGCCCTAATAGTGCCAGCCAGAAACTTCTCCTTGTTTCAATTCTCTTATCAGTAGTCTCTAAGGACTGAAAACTGATTAGCATTTGCTATTTTCCACTTCCCTGCATTTGTTGTGCATTTCTTCATTTTACCTCAGTGCCAGGTTGCTGTACTTAGCTGTGACCTTCTCTCTTGATTGTGGTTTTTTGGGCGCCCAGTACACTCTTTTAAACAACTCATAATTAACTTTCATTATTGTATGGCGTGCTCATGATCATTATTTTACAATTAAGTCTGCCATTCTGATTACTGCCATGTCAAGTTATGAGTATGCACATGAGAATTCCTCTAATGCTAAACTCAATTAAAAGCAGCAGTTACTTTATTCTTGCAACATGATTTACATTCAGGGCAAGATTTTCTCCAGTCCTGTCTATTATCTTTAATGAGAGGTCAGAATGCTCTAACAGGAAACAAACAAACGTCATAGCCCTCTAGTCCTGGCCTTTAATGTTCACAGTAATAACCACAACTTGTTGAAAGGTTGAGTTAATTGGTGTTAAAAGTCCTGATCCCACAGCAATTGGTCTCTCAGTGACCCACTGCCAAACTTAATGTATATTTCCAGTGTGAAGGGCAGTAGTTCTACCTTGTGAATACATCTGCAGTATTTTTGGCTCCATAATTTAATGTGAGAAGGGCTTAGATGTTAGTTGACAGAACAACTGACAACATTTAATTTTCTTTTGGTAACTGCTGTAGAAACATAAGAAGTTATTTCCTATTTGTTTGTTCTCCACATGTGCTGGTGAACAGTCAAACTAATTCCTCAAATAAATTGTCATGGTCCTTCCAAGATAATTAAGATGTTTTCATACTTCTACATCCCAGCCAACAGGAAGCCCAGGTTCACTGTGGTATGGGCTCTCTCCACTGCACAGCTAGACTCTCTCACACCTGTATTTCTCATTCTGGCATTGCTAGTGGAACCTCCTAGTCCAAGAGTTACATGTAAAGGAGTTTGACAGCAGCACCTTTGGCGAATCACATTTGTCTTATCCCCCCCTTCCCAGTACATACTTGGAACAGTATCAGGAAGCTACCTCTTCCGCATGCTTGGTCACCAGAAAAGACAAAGCACCCTCTTTCTAAAATTAGTTTTCCACTGGATATAAGCACGCTCCAAAAACACGTGCCTATGTGGCATGACCCCTCAGGAGAGGACTACAGAGAAAGCCAAGTAAATTGTGCGGGTACCTGCACGCTGGTGGACCTCTTGAGATGAAGCTTGCAGCTGAGGTGTTCCATCTCTGGTAGGCTGTGAGCTACTGCTTTGGCTTGAATTGCCTGTGCGATTGCTGCTAGACGAAGAACCCCCTACACCATCCACCTCTTCAACGTTTCCTCTCTCATGGTGAGTTGCATGGCAATCCTTCCGCATTCTGTTGGCAGGAACACACGCTTGGTCATCCATTTATTATGCACAAAAATTTCTGTCACCATTAAGTGCCCTTACAATGTATAACTGTAACTCTCTCATACTGCTGCAGGTCTTTTGACATTTTATGAGATGACAAAGATTACCTTCCTGAGAACAAAACTCTACACAATGCACACCAAATCTTTCCTTGTCTATGTTATCTGGCTTTGGAGCCCAGCGAGACTATCTGCTGTTACAGTGGGATCTAAAGATCAGGGTTTGCATTGGTAACCAAGTAGCAAAGAAGAGGAATGGACTGGAGGGAGCTCAGTGGGAATGAGCTTTGTGGTGGGAAACTAACATATTAAGCCAGTAGGTTTAATTTTGGCATTTAAGCACAGGTCTTAACATGCAAGTTGGCTCCTATAGTCTCTCTATGGTCCCCTGCCTCTCCTCAGCCACTGTGGCGATAGGGCAGGTGGAGGGAATGAGACAAGAATGAGTTATTGCTGTATGAACAGGGTATGTAGGAATAAGAGAGAGATAGAATGTGTCAGACACTGATCACGCTTACCTATGGGAAGTCAGGCAGTTTTCATTGGTAGTAAGTAAATTTTAGATGTGTTTTCATCAAGAACAGATTTGGGGATGATAATCTATATTGCCAAAGCTTTGGAGCATAACCCGCCAACACATTTACTCATGTTCTGACATGTCACTGAGTTACAGAAAAGATGCCCTTATTTACAAGGCATAAACAGTAAAATTCCCTGGAATAAGGGAAATGTCTGTAGTGCTAAGTGATTTGATAATGGATATTATTGAGCATGCAGAAATCTTTGCTTAAAAGCCATGCATATGTAATAAATTTGCTTTCTGCTATATTTGTAGGGCTACTTTGTTATATTCTGAGTTATTTGCCATTAATTTTTTACTCATACTATGGAATTGCTCTCTTTTAATAGAAAATACAGTGGAACTAAGACTGCAGGGTCTCTATCTGCATAGCCAAAATGTAACACCTACCTTAACCATTTGGATTTGAACCACTTTTTAATGTTGTCCAAACTGACAGGTCCCCCCCAAATGTTCCTCAGTTGGCTGTGTGTCCCAAGGTACGAGGTGGTTAAAGGGGAAACATACATTGGATATCCCAGTGGCTGATCACATGAAGAGTTAATTAAGTTCCTCAAGACCTGTTTATTGTTCTGAATGCTTCCTCTCTCCGGGTTGCGATTGCGTAAGAATATCAGTTCCTGCTGCTGCCCAGCCCAAAGCCCTCTGACGCACTCCTTGTTGACCTACAGACGGGTTAAAAACATGTGGATCACGTGGAAGTGTTTGCTGCTTAAGACACAGAATCATAGAATTGTAGAATCATAGAATAGTTAGGGTTGGAAAGGACCTTAAGATCATCTAGTTCCAAACCCCCTGCCATGGGCAGGGACACTGAATGACAATTTAGGTAGAAGGGTGATAGCTGTGTGTGGAAACCCTCATGTCTTTGCACCAATAGGTCCTGCGAACTTTTGCAGCTACTCCCTGGTAAAGCCTGGAATGATATTTCAGATACACAAACATATGGGTGCAAAATGGAAGTCAACTGAAGAGAGCTTTTTTAGCGTCCAATCCCTATTCCAGTAACTACAATCAACCTCTCCTTTTGGCCAGATTTCTCAGAACTATTATTAGTTACCACAGCCCTAAATTACTGCAATATTAGCAAGATGGTACACGTACCTTGATAACCTTGAAGCTCAAGTAGCTTTTGTGGAGCATGATAACTTTATACTCATCTGCTCCTTCATCTACCACATGTCTCAGGGTTAGCAGCTCCTCTCTGTTGGAAAGCACAGCACTGCGCCAGGCTGGGTCCCCTTCATGACAAATCACAACCTTTTCTTCAAAAGATTGTATTGCTTCATACAAAACTGCTGGGTCCTCATACTCATCTGGGCAGGTGAACTGGTCCTGGTAGCACAGCAAAAAAAGTATTAAAAAAGTCAGGTATATTTGTGAAAACACAATAAACAAAATCTAGCTTTCCAAACAGTTGCCACCTGACCCCACAAGAGACTTGCCATTTGATATAGCATGTCTTTGGGGGTGTAGAACAATTAATTTAACGGTAATATAGAAAGGCACAATTTTTGTTTTACTGTAACTTGTTCTGATCTCATGTCTCCACTAGACAAAGACACTCAGAGGATGCCAACTTAGCCACTTTCTTTTTATAGAGTGGGAAAACCCTGGGAGGCAGAGCTTTGGGGTAAGATGGAGGGGGATCAGAATCACCTGGGCCATTGCACAGTTCTTCTGGAAATCCTTATTTTTATTCACAAAAAAACCACTAACAAAAGCACAGACTGGGAATCCATCGGCACATATCACAATATTGTGTTACTGCTATAGCTGTCACGCAGCAACACAGCCAGCGATAACATTCATAAAATTATTGTGTCAAACTCTCGCATATTAATTCCCAGCAGTTCCACTTCAGTTACATTCAGAGCAATTATAAATACCATGCATGGTAAAAGAATATGATACTAAATCATCGTGTCAGAGCAAGAACATTGTCAACTCCAAGCTATACCGGGGTTGAAACTGGAGCAACTTCAATAGAAATGTGCCAGATTTTTACAACTGAAAACAGAATGGGGTCAGAAACAACCTCACATAATCAAACAAACAGCCGTGACACTGACCCTTCAAACCACTCTCCTCTCAGCTATGTCTTTTAACATACGGAAGAATTACATGTGTATTGCCGTTCATGAAAAGACTGATAAGTTAGCAGTGGAGTTAGTCTAATGTAGGTTTTTTCAATCTAAAACTATAGTGTCCACACAAGTAAGATAAGAGATGACTGTCAGTTTTGTTTTGGTGAAAAGCGCAGGGTCAAGCTCTATAATATGAATGGTTTCAAATGCGTAGCAGGGGTACAGAAAAGAAGATAAGGGAATGCAAAATAAATAAAAGCCAAGCTTTTCCATTTTGGTTAAGGAAGTTTCTCAGAATAAGGCAAAACCTCTCCATTTCCCTCTCCCCTTTGGACAGTTTCTAAGGATTCCTGTGTTTCCCTCAGAAAACAGGTATTGCATTAAAAATTAAAACGAAAAATAAATAATAAAAGAAGACACTACCTGGTGTAGCTTCAGAGACATTCGGATTGCCGGGGCAACAACCTTATGCAATAGATCCATGTCTGCAAAGACCCACTCATCTTTTGCCGCTATCCGAAAGTCTCCTTTGAACAGTGCATGGAGCCCATAAAGAAAAGAGTCCAAGCTGTAAGAGAGAGGTAGAAGTCACTCACAAAAGTCATTCCCAGCTCACCAGGCTGGACCCCTGCCAGCCACTGGCCACGTGTTGAGCAGTGGGTATAAAGCCGGGGTTGCAGCGCACACACTTCTAATGCAAAAGCATTCCTCAGGGTAGGTGGTTTTCATTCTGCTTGCACTGTAAGCAATTGGCCATGGAATGAGTGTGGCACCTGGAAGGAAGGATGTCCTAAGGATGGGTGGCTGGGTCACAGGGTGCCGCAAGGTGCTGCTACTTCACAGCAGTGCCAGAGAGACCAAGTCAAAGAGTGCCAGCTGCTCCACAAGCGCTGTGCTGGCGGCAGGAGCTGCCCGCTCATGTGAAGGTGTATTGATTGATCAGCAAATCTGAGACTTCTGTCGTGAAACTCAAACCCAGACGTGAACATTAACCCAGAGGTACTGAGAAGAATACTTAGCTTCAGGGACTGTGCAGCAAACCAGGTGAGAGCATGAGTCAAATGACAGGCATTCCATATTGAAACAACGAGCCCTAAAGCAAATGTGCCCTGGGTTTCTTTTTTTCTAATATAAGAAGCTAGATGTAACCAGTTCTGCCTGACCTTGGATACTGGTTTGCCTGGACCAGAGATTTAAGCAAGAGGTAAAAGGTACAGAGCCAAGTGGCTGTTAGAAAAGGGCCTCAAAAGGGCTTTGCTAAAGGAAAAAAAAACTGGCCTTCAGCTCCAGTCTGCACCCTGAACCACAAGCTTCTCACACCACCACAGCCGCTTGTATAATGCCTGTATCAGGACTGCTGCCCTAACACTGCCCTGAAGAAGTGAGCTCCAAACTGAAGCAAGCAGAATCATCTGTTAAAAACAGGCCTCTCCTGCAAACCCACAGGACATGGTTTCACCTACCTCCCAAGATTTCGCTCACTCTTACAACAGTTGATTTTTCAGATTGTAAAGGCTCTGAGGAGAAGCTGCATTAAGATGTTGGCAGTTTTCATTACTGCCCTGGCTCTCTCTAGAGAATGCATAATCTTTCCATGTAATTGAGCTCTCTTAATTATTTTAGGATAAGAAAAAAGCCATTTAGATGTTTTCTCTGAGAGGGAGAACTGCTTGGCCTATCTGCAGCAAAAACATTCTAATTTTGCCCTTGGTTCGTAGCATGTTTTAGAAATTAAAATGGAAAGATATATATGCTGTTACCAGAAGAGCAGCTGGATACCAGCTCTCTCTGTGAAAGCACCGTATTATAAAAACCAACTAATCAGTGGGAGCAAGGCCAGTGAGGAAGGCAGGGCTGCTGTCGCTGCTGGGAACATGAGAAGCATTGGGAAGCTCCTGTGAATTCTTAACTGATTTGCATTTATTAGTACTATGTTATGTATTAAAACACGCCTGTGTGAGACAGGCACTCACACATGCATCTTCAAAACATTCAAGCACTGATTTCAATGGGAGTTATGTGTTTTCAAGGAGCAGGTCCTGATCCCCATTGACTTTCAGTTAATCATCTCCACAATTTAGAATATGGTAATATCCCCAAATCCTGCTTAATAGATAGGAAAGTCCTAGAGGGCAATTGGGAGGAGGGAAAATAGTGGGTGCAGCCAGTGTGAAATATGTGGTGAAATATGTGACTATCATCTCCTTTGAAAAGTCTAGAAATCAGGAAGGGTCCTTTCACTTGCCCACCCACTAGACAACATCCAGCATACATAGTTGAATCCTCGCCTGGTAAAAACACTGCTGTATCTAACTATTCTTCCCAGGGTGACATTGAAAAATAGCCTACCCTGAACTCTGCACCTAATGATGATAGTATAGTCTAGTATAGTTTTTCCCCATATAGCACCCCCCCGTATTTGCTCTGAAAAGTTGGCTGGGATGAAGGGAGGAGTAGGCAGGAAAGAGAACTGGTTTTTACATCATTAGAAGCTCTCAGAGGCAAATCTGAACACCAGAGCAGACAAAGAGTTTGCATTCACCATGTAAGTGTCTTGCAGGCGTCAGCACATGCTAAACAGGCTGCTGTGAACAGCAGTACCTACTGAAAGCAAGGCTAGGACTAGGACAGCTATGCAAAGTGCAGTTGAGCATCGGCAGACAGAGAAGCACACACAGTTCTCACTGTGCTTAGTTAGGGAAGACTTTATCCATTTCTCATCCCTCTGCATAATGAATTCTCTAACGAGCATTTTTAAGAACAAATATGACTGCTACAAGGAGCAAAGCAGTGGTGACAGTAGTTGTGAGAGGCTGAGAGTCAATTATTTTCTATGTCGTATTTTCCAGCAGAGAGGTCTGGAGGAGATTGCTGTATTCACAAAACTATGGACATCTTTTATTCTCCCGCCAATTGTAATGAGGCTTTTGGGTACATTCTGCCTATAATGTGACACTATCTCAAGCCATTACTTCTGTAACACGAAGCCCTTAATCCACATAAATACAGCTATTGCTATTCTTCCCATTGTTATGCTGTCTCCTGAAGACTCTAATGAGATTATAAGGAAGCTGTAAAGCCAACAGCTTTGATCTCAGTCCTTACTCAAGGTTGTTGCTGCATTCTTGGCCCAGTTTTACCATACTTCAATTAGTAATCTGCTGTATTTACAGAAAATACTTTAGAAACTAGTTAAGGTAAATTTGCATGCCAGAGGAATGACGTTAATCAGGAAGAGACAAAGCTACTATTTCTGGCAACATTTCTAACCCTCTCAGCTAAACACCCAAAAAGCTGCTGCCACAACTGTGAGCTATTTTAGAACAAGACTAGTAGGTGTGTGGGAACCGTCGGCCCCTCAAATGTACAGAAAGAAGGGGATTAAATAGCACCACAAATACCAGAGGGAAGGCAACAGAGCCAAAACAAATATTCGCTCTTACTGCACCCCTTACATTTGTCCAACAGCTGAAACTAAAAGCATTTGCTGCAAGCCTGAAACAGCATGGATGAAAACTAATGAGCTGGTTAATATACCTGTGTGTGTTTTGCACATCAAAACCCATCTTCTGTCTGCAGTTCATAGACCTTTCTCAGTGTTAACTGTAGATTTATTTAAGGAATGAAGAAACACGCATGCCTGTGAGCTGGTAATGACCTGAATGTCACAGCTTATCTGAATGAAGTATTTTCAGTGGTAGCCCTCCACCTCTTTCCCCCCAGATGCTGGGCAGTGCAATGTGATGCCCAGAAGGGAAAGAACAAGCAGGGCCAGCTGCTTCCCTGGGCTTCAGCATGAACAGTGGCTCCTCCAGGCAGAGGCATTCCTTGGAGTAACCCTCTGTCCACTCTGAGTGATAACACCCAAAGGGAGCTCAGGGGACACAAGCATCCAGGCTTTGTAGTGTTGGAAGTATCTGATGAGAGATGCTTGAGAGACTTTTATATTTCTCCAAACTTGAACTGTGTACATTTATTTACATGTATACATGTAAACAGTTATTTACCAGCAGGTCTAGTGGCTGAATAGGAGTTTTAAGTATTTTTTTTACAAATGTACACCTAAACTTATCACTCATATTTGAATAAATGAATGGTAATGTCATCTCACACTTCAAACTGCATTTTGTGCAGGATGCCTCCTAATGGTACTTTAAAAGAGCAAGTGATTTGCATAGCAAGGTTCTGCCTTAATGAATGCATTTATTGTGTAATTTAGTGTTAATGTTGGGTTTCTACTGACATTTACATGAACGGGGACACTGAATAATTATTTACATACATTATATAAGTGCATTTAAAATCTTGGTTTACACAGTGACATTTACTGATTAATAGATTAGACAAAATCATGTGTAAATGAGTGCAAATTGGTAGTTTACATACACAATGTAAACCTGAATCTCAATTCTGTAGCATAACATTACCTTTGCATTACTATTTCTGTGCAGCAGTTAGATGAGTGTTACTCCTTCAGATACAGCAAGGGCTAGACTTAGTCCAGAGAAAGTTCCCTACAACTTGCATAGTTACCACCAAGAACAAAACATGGACTGCAGAGCACAGCTTCCTGGCTGGTTTGCTTATGTTGGACATATCTAAAACACTTCATAGAAATAAGTGTAAGAATACAATGCCTATCTGGCTGTTACATCTCAAACTCATCACAAAACCTCTAGCAGTGTTGTACAAAAGATGCTTCACAGCCAGAATTCATATTCCTGAAGTTCAAGGTCACTTCTCAGTGCCTACCAGAGTAATCCAAGTAATGCCATTTTTTGTAGTCCAGCATTCGAGTGTGACAGAGCGTGTGTCAGGAGCCCTGATCTCTTACAAAGCGGCCAACTCCCAACAGCTGCACACGCAGTACATCCCCCTCATGCACACAGCTGGCTGTGGAACTGCCTGCTCTGACACCATCTCTGAAGAAAACTAAAGCACTCTTCAGCACAAGTAGGCCCCAAAAGGTCCCCAAAATATCATGGCACCTTTCCAAGGAAAATGACTGTGAAGCATACTCCTCCCCATCTGACTGAATGAGAGATACTGCTCCCATCTGACTGAATGCAGATCTGCAACAGACCAAGAGCTGGGGGGTGAGGACCAGCCTATATCACCCTCTAAGAGCTGCTGTATCTCCATCAGAGAGAGGGGAGAGAGACCTGCCTTCAGTGCCTAAAGCTGATCCTCAGGAACACCTCTTTCCGGCCTCAGCAGCATTGCACATTGTAGATGCTGGAAAAGTCCTCTTCCCCCGGCACACTGTATATTTGTACACCAACTGGAGCCTCGCTGACTTACTGCTGCTTTGTGTTTAAATAAGTTGTGCAGATTTCTATGAAGCAGTAAACACAGTAAGTACAGTAAGAGCTGCCCCCTGTGCTGAAGTGAGTGTATTTGGGGGATTTCTGTTGATCAAGGTCTTTATATCAGGGGGTAGCATACCCACCTTGCTCCTTAGTTATCTCACCGAGCTGAAGTCATGTTTTGTAGCTGCAGCAATTTATAACTTGAACTGTGCTACTTGGATTCCTTTCTGTCCTCTAAATCTTTCTGACAGTTGAGGTGTATTAGAGGTAATTTAACCAGGTGAGTAAGTGACACAGTTTTTCCACAGTGAAACTTTTCTAGGGAAAGCTTTTGTGAAGTAGCACTGAAAAAGATACTGACAGAAGCTTCCACTTAATCCCTTTTATGTCATAAAATACATTTAAAAAATACAATGATTCAATATTGCCCTGGAGCACTCGCTTAACAAAAAGAGAGCCAGGACTTTAATTAAAGCTACAGGATTACATAGAATAGATTCGGAAAAACAGGGATAGAGCTGTGCAGTGCATATGACTACCATTTTTTTTTGCCTTTCTACAGATCTTTTCTCACCAAGGAAAGTATTTTTAAGTGTGGAGTTTCCACTCATCAAAAGAGAGGAACTGATGTAGTTCATCGATAATTTTGCAGATATTAAAAAGCCATGCTACAGCCAACTCCTACAATTAGTATTAAATCTTTACAGAAAATTTTGCAAATAATTATCCCCAACATTCATTCTTTCCATGTTAAGCTTTAGAAAGCCTCTGATAATATTATCTCTCTGCATTAGCTACTAACCATGTAAGCCAATAGAAGTAGGTGACATTGCTATTGTATCTGTATTAGTGCCAAAACACTGTAATGAAGACTTTAAGATCCGGTGGAAAGTACATGTAACATAATGACAATTTTAGGAAGCCTGTGTGATATTTTTAGAAGCGTTTCTAATACAACTGTGACACATCTATTGCAGCTCCAGACCAAAAATCACTTTAATCTTTTCTCAAAAGAAAAATAAATCATAAATGCACATCAATTTGGATCATCTAAAAAAATAGGGCAATTTTAGGAATATCAAGGGCTTACTAAATATCACACTAATTTGAGCGCATAGAAATGAAGGGAGAGGAAGTTCAACCTAGAAGAAAACTACTACAGAAAGGGAATGTGCAAACTAGTAGAAAAGAGATGACAAAGCCACTTCAGAAAGCAGAAAGAACTAGCACACCAAGAAATAAGCTGTGGGCCACAAACATCTTGCATGACTGACTGAAAAAGGAAGACATAAAACCAAATATTACAAACATCGAAACAGGTAACAAAGCTGAAATGAATAATTAAAAGGACTGTTTTATCTTGGAACACAGAATGCATTCAAAATCACACATGCTGTCTTTGCTTGCTTGTTAGTAAAACAAATCCTCTCTAAGGAGCACGTTGATAGAGGGCTAGCTGCCTTTCCTCACAGTTTTGTGCCAATGCAGCAAGGTCACCTAGAAAATGTATTTACTCAAACTCTCTACTGTCACTAAACTCCTGTGAACACAGGGAGGTCAAATACATCTAGTAAAAATCTAAAATTAGGTAAGAAGTTTGATTTTGTTAACATAAAGATTATTTCATTAATAAAATGCCTTATCTATAGAATGGTGTAAAAGGTACCTTGTAACTTGTATAATGGTATCCAAACGACTCAGAACTGCTAGTGAAAATGGAAGAATCCTTAACGGAGATGTAAGATGAAGAACATGTTCAGAAGCAATCTTAATCAAGTGTGTTTTAATGAAACTAAACTTTCCAGGAAGTGTTTTGGACGAATGAATGAATCAATGAATGAATGAGTGAGGTAGATTGAGAACAGACAAAGCTGTGGTCTCAAAAGATGCAAGGTCCTCCCTTCCTCAGTCAGCAGAATGAAGTGGCAAAGTGAATGTGAATACAGCCCTGAGAAATACAGGACCCTTATGGGTATATTATTATTTAGGTAACTAGATTTCAGTCAGATGACTTAGCAGTTTCTTCCTCTTCTGGAGGGAACCAGCATCTGGAATGCTTAGCCAGGCAAGACATGAGTGAACACAAGCAATAACCGTTGCTATCTGTTCTTTCAATGCAAAATTATGCTTTCTCCTATGAAATGAAGACCCGTATTAATTATTTAGTCAGCTACCAAAGTAAAAGATGTCCAGGAATGGCAAAAACCAAATTATTTTATAGAAGAAACAGGAAAAAGGCTTCTCTTCTATATGGGAAAGAGACTTCACTATCTAATCTCCTGCTGAGATACCACATTAAGTGAAAAAAGACAAACAGGTCTTTATGATAAGGATTCCTAAAAATTACCTGATGGCCATATTGTGAGCTGCAGTTCCCAAAGCTCTTCGACCCAGTATACACAAGGCAAAGGAAAGTGTCACTAGAGGAGAATCTTCATCGCTGTCCAGGTGCTACAAAGTTTTAATAACATCATGTTATTCTAAATGCAAATACCATCTTTATAAGCGCTGCAGTAGTATAAATGGTAACAGTCACAACATTTGCATGTAGCTGGACTTACACACAGAAACATTCTTTGCAATTCTTTGCAATTAAACAGAGCAAGAAGGAAGATCCCTGCCATCAAAGACTTTCTGCAAAATTCAAGCTTATTTTGCCCCCTGGCTAGAAACAGAACATTTGAATCTCAGGTGGCGAGATCCCAAGGGAGGGGAGCTCTGGTGGCAGTGGGGTTTTTTTTGCAGGTTTGTTTTTCCCAGATCTGACATTCTAAATCAGAGCAGATTCCTTATTGCTGACAGATGCTGCAACCTGAGGCAGCCAAACCCCTTTTCATGGGACACAGTGCCTATGAAAACACACCTTACATTCCAGAATAACAATCTATATGGAAAGGACACATCTTTAGTGAATAACTATGTCTAAAATGTATACCATTGATGACACCGACCTCACATTTTAACAAGCAGTTGAAACATTTCATTTTCATTTCCTAGCTCAGAAGAATTTCTTTACTGAAATTTTTGCAAAGAGAACTATCAAGCAGGAGGAAAAAGCTGAAATAACCCTTCATGAATATGAATCTTCAGGAGGATACAGACTATTATTTCAGCCCCTGCAATAAGTGACCTCTTGTAGCTTTGACTCTAAAACTGAAACCAATTGTAATGGAGAATGAAGCTCCTGTTTAAAATACATTGATTTTCATGTGTCATTTTTCTATGTGTACAGTAAAGGTTTTTTTACAGCTTATCTTCAACATGGACTATATTCTTATATAGTCAGTGAATTACAAAAACAGAGGTAAAAGAAAAGGATGCAAAAAACACAAACACATAAATATGTGTGTGTGTGCACTAATTCAGGCATTCCTTTCCTCTTTTAACTGATAAACTTTAAATCTATTTGGTAACCCTAATTATATTATTCAATTTTAAAGTCTCAGCCACATAATGAGTGAAAAAGCATCATTTAATAGTGGCTTTCCCTGCACTGTGCAGTTCTTTGAGTGTCAGAACTTGGGAGCTGAGACATGGAGATGGAAAAGAGATTAAACATTCCCAGTAGGAGAAGATGGTGGGGAAGGCTCAGAGGACGATTCAATAAAACCAGTATCAATGCAGTGATATGCAGAGGAACTGGTGGAATAGTATTTAGGGTTAAAGACATGAGAAGGAACCAAAGTGGAGAAGAAACATTAAGGTTCAGCAATGTTATTCCAGCTAAGGTCAGTGGTAGCAAATGGGATGTGCACTCAGTGATCCTGAATGAAAAATGTACAAATAAGAGTGCGTAGTGGCCAGGAAAGATACGCTTCTCATTTGTTGCAGTCATCAGCAATAATCAGAAAGTTAAATCAAGGGAACATGCTTGTTTGAAACTGCATTCTCCTTCTGGGCTATTTTGAGTATTCCATGGAAATACAGGAATGCATTTCCAACAAATGATTGCTGACCATCCGTAATCTTAGTGGCTCAAAGCATTTGAACGTGTAGCTGAAAACCTGCCCTTGACCTTCTAGAGCTGTGAGATCATTTCATGCATTTTTGTAGCATTGTTCATACTTGAATTATGAGCTCTCATGCACTTCCCTGCCATCTGAAGACCAGATATACCCAGATGCAGGCAAATTTTTGGAAAGGGTACAAAGGGACCCAACACTGGTAACACTGACTGACTAATGACATTCCCTGAATGGAGCTTTCCCCGAATGACATTCCCCGCTTGCACTTCTGCAAGCACTTGTTATATCTGCGCATTCTAGAGCTGATGAAATGGACAGTGTTAGAAGTGTGCACACTAAGGAGCTGGTTCTGTATTCAAACACTAATGCTTCTTAAATTTTGCATGAGTGTAGTCTCCATAATACGTATTTCCATTCCACTAAATAAATATGCATTTTCCCTTTATGTAAAATTTGACAGCTTAAATGAAATAAATTTTATTGTATTAATCCTGAGCAAGCAGAAGAGTAACTATGCATCATTTAATGCTTATCCCAGGAATTAAAAATGTGACTACCAAAAGATACATAAATGCAAGCTTACCTCCACCCTTTTTCTTGCACAGAACTGAATCCAGTCCAGATAAACACTGCAGAAACTAGCTCTTGTTATTCCTTGGAGACAAGGAACATAATCTTCATCTATGTTAATGTTAAACATCGCAAGGTCACGTTCAATATAATGCCACTTTGCATAAGGCTGCAATATCTTTTGGATGGATTCGTCTTTTATCCAGTCAAGGATTTTGGGAGAACTTGCTGTAAAGTATATTATGCTCTGTCGACAAAATGCACAAACATTAGACACTACTTCTGATTAGAACAGACCATTTTGCACAGAACATCGCAAATCAAAGAGGAGCACATTAACTACCTATAATAGTACATATTTTTCTAAACTCTCAATTTCCTCCATAACTTTCTGTTTTCTGGGGATGAAGCTTTCCTAATTCTTTAAAAGAAACAGTTCCATGAACCATGATTTAACCATGAGGGTGGGATCTGACAACACAAGTCTGAAAACCTGTTTTAACTGCCGTTTTCTTTTTGTATTTAGTAACATCACAGTGAGGCCATACAGAATAATGGATTTTTCTTGTATGTCAGGCTCAGAAGCTAATACGTTATGTAACTGAATTTGCTTTTAAAGCACTGAAAGAGAAGCAGCATTCTGCAGGAGCTCTTTTACCAAAGGCAGAAATATTTGAAAGCAGCAACACTCGTATCTCAAAGGTATGCCTGAGTTTCCACATTTAGGTTCCTTTAACTGCTGTGTATGGAGCCATCAGATTAATAATAAAATAAAAAAATAGAAATAATAATCTATTTGAACCAAATTTAAAGCTTATTTTCAAAAGAATATAAAACTTAGGAGAAGACATAGTACTGCAGTGGGAAGTGGCATCAGCTGGAAAGTCCCATTACAATGTTTTATGATTATATTATAATATTAATATATTCATTTAGAATTGGATTCCAAAGCAAACGAGCAGCAAGTGAACATGACTGAAGATGTAATACTACTTTGCCCATGGAATTGAAATATTATTAAGCAAATAAATGTATAAAATGAGAATCTGATGGACTAAAAAGGGCAGAAACACTCCCAGCTCTTCAAAAACTCCCAGATGCCCTGCACAGTTTATCTTTCAAATTGCAGAAAAATACATAAGCAAGCGAAAAATTAAACTCCAGAGGAAAAAGACAAGTGAGACAGATACAGAGTGAGGATGGACCTTTAACTTTTTGACTTGTGGAGAACAAATCACTCTTTTAAAGATTCATGCAGAAACAATGAGAGCTGGAAACACAGCACTCAGCAAATGCAGACTTCACGAATACTAAAAGATGTTTAAATAAGAATATATTGAAAAAAGATGGAAGAGGCACAAGGGGAAAATCTCACAGTAGTTGGGCAGGATATTATTTCAAAATACATGCAGAATGGCTACAGGAGCTGACCCACGTTATTTGTGGAGAATAAAATCCTTTTATAAGAAAAAAGAAGGGCCTTTCTGGGCTGTCAATGAAACTGCAAATGAAATAAATACATCTTAGGAATAAGACACTCAGTGCAACTCATTGTTTAAGAGACCAATATGATAATCATTCTTGATGGACAGGAGAACTGAAACAAAGCATACATGTTCATTGTTGATCTTCAAGATAAGAGTTTGCTTTATTTATTAATCTCACCAGTGTTTAAAGAGAATCAGGCTCAGATGGGAAAAAAATCAGACTTACAATCAGACATAAAAAGAGGAGGAACTTCTGCCACCTAATTCAACTCTGCTCTTAGTAGCTCTTCCTAGGTATGTTTTGTGCACAAGTACACCCTCAGCTATACAGCAATTCAGAAATAATGTGGTAAATATTTACAATATTGTAAGCCACAAGGAATAAACTGGAAGCACTCCAAATGCTGAGTGCAATGGAAATGCAGTTGCTGCAGAAACTCTAGCCCAAGTGTTTTCTGAGTTTGTGATTTATGTGACCTGAGTTCTGCATTAACTAGGGTTCTTCTTAAAATTAGTTTCCTACGCCATTAGAAGGAAAATGTCATGGCTCTACAATGTTCACAGTGGAATTGTGCAGGGTCTTTACAACTCAAGGTTCCCCCATAAGAAAGAGCTGGGGAAGGAATGAATTTGCACCTCTCTTTCTGATATTGTTTATCTGTAGGTAAGTACTAAATAAACAGGATGAAAGCTGATCTGATACATAATAAGATCTTCTCACCTTCTGAGGCTGTGCTAAGGATTTTACCAAATCTTATCAAAGCTCTTTATGGATAAAACCAATAACTTGAAGAACAGGAGGGGAAAATCTCCATACAGCTGTCTTTTGGGAAGCGCCATTCTAAAGAAGGGATCTCCTGAGCATGCTCTCCCTTTACTGAAGGGACCTCCAGCCCAGGCTAATATCAAAGCTGCTAACATGTTATTATTTATTATCTTGTGTTGATCCTTCCCTAAAATGAGAAGTAGATTAAAAGACTGACTCCTTTCTGAGAATGAAGATGTGTCAATGCAGTGTTATTGCACTGGTTCAACTAAATCCAACCAAAAGAGATTTGATTTTCACATCTTCAAAGTAGGCTGTGGACACAGCAACATCTGCATACAGTGGAGATGGAGCCCCAGCCTACCTCAGTAGTGTGAAGCCTGTTTAACCCATCTCCCTTTTACTCAAAACCAGATCATTGAACCACACCTCTATCAATGAGACAAAAGTTTGTCTAAGTGATCCTACCTATGTCAGCTGCTTCTCAGCTATATCCAGAACCAGAAGCCCTAAGCTACCTTTCAGTTAAGTTTCACTTCCCATGTGATGAAGCTTATAAGTCCTCTACATATTAATTGACTTAAAGGCACTAAACAAGTTCCAGTCTACAATGCACAATTCTTCATTGATTAAAACTAATAAGCTGCTGAGTTTAAACAGCAGCTTAGACTGACCTTTTTTCAGTCTTGTTCAACGTCAAAAGCTGAGTCATATATCAGCTTGCACCCATTTATGTCCAGGTTACTCTTTGAAGTAGAATGAAACAATTGTAGCAATATACTCATTAGAGTTTAAAGAAGTTTGGTGGTTTGTTGCTTTTGTTTTTTGGTTTTTTTTTAGTTCAGATACAATACTTAAAACCAACTTAATTTATAGCCACAAACCCCACTTCTGAAAAGAAAAACTCATCCTCACATGCAGTTTTGTTTCTAATTAGTTAAGTAAACAAGCAGGTTAGCTACCAGGCCCTACTGCCTGTAAAATTATTTCTGAAATCCCAGTCTGCATTTTACAAAGTAGTCGACTCCATGATCAAAGCAGCTTTTTGAGGCAACAATCTTGGCTTTACTGCACTGGCTCACTTGCAAAAAAAAGTGATTAATTTATTTACAACAGGTCTCTCAAAGTTAGACAGGATTTTTACAGCTGCAGAGATGTAAGTAGAATGGAGATGGCAGCGATGGTTGGGAGCTTTAGTGACTGGCTTTGTGGCAGTACCAGTGGGATAGGAGGAAGCATTTGGCTCTTGTTGATTCAGTAGAATACAATGAAGCTCAGCTACGTCTTCATTTGCTGGACTGGAAACCATCTGGTAAAGGATGAAGATCTCATGCTAGATTTTAAGGTTCAATTATTTTGACAAATAATGTCTGTGTAATCATTGTGATCTTAATAACAGCACAAATATAGAAGTGATGTAAATGAATTACTGTTTAATCAATGGAATAAAACAAGATGTGTTGTGGCATATATGTAAAACAGGTAAGAAGGGCGTTTGCACTATTATGAAAGTACATTTGAGAAACAGCTTTCAGAGGCTTCCCAAGAACTTTATGCTTCTTGTTCCTTCCTGGGTTTGCCAGAAAAAACAGTGGAAAGACCAAGTCAAGAAGAAATAACAAACTGTCAGTGAAGTTTTGCTTTGTAAGGATGCTTCCTCTGACTTTATCGCTAGAGGATGTTCACTCACCTTCTTGATTTCTGCTTAAGCATGCCTGCGATTTTCTGTACCAAGTATAAGCTGTCAGAATCAAATGTAGCAAAGGGAGATATGAATTAATTATCCCCATCTAACATCAAGTCAGTCTGACTGCCAGTAGTGCAAGTGAATATATATAAAGTAAAATAGTTCAAACGCTCTTTCTTCTCTAGCCAGCCGGAGAGTTCTTTCAATTTTACAAACCTGCCTAGGAATAAAGTACACTTTGCCAAGGAGTTTACCTTTATATAGTATCTGATAAGTATTCTCCGCAGATCGAACACTTGCAGCATTGTCGCAGCGTTGTTATCAATGATGCTATATCCTTCCAGGATGTACTGGGTTCGTGTTATTTCCCATGTCAGCCATCTGAGGTTAAAGGCTGCATTACATGACAACAAGTGAGGCAAGTGCCCCGGCTTACAACAGCAGCAGCCTTCATTGTCTTCATCTCCTTCTGTTATAGCTTCCACTTCTCTCTGCTGGCAATATGTCCCTTGGCAGTGAGAAAAAGAGAGTATGCTGCCAGTTATTGGGGGAGGAGGAAACAAAGGACTTCTTCCAAGCTGAAAAAGTACAACAAAGGCTCTGTGAATTTAGCAAAATCTAGTAGAAAGAGCTATGGCAAGATACTAGATGTGCCAATTGATCTGTGCGCAGTAGCAAATAAAGAGCTGTACATTATTTATTTACTATCACCTATAAAAGCCAAAAGGGCCTGATCTAATGTTCTAGGTGTTCAGTTCTGATCTGAGCTAAACTACAGAGCACAGCTTCTGCCTTAATAGAATCTCACCAGTAATCAACGGTCAAGAATCCTGCTCCATCAGGCACATTAAGCAAATTGACCCAAGTATCAGTCTGCTTCTTCAAGTAACGTACAGGATGCAAACAAAGATTTTGCAGTGTGCCAGAGCACTTGTAAAATCTGGGGTTTAGCAAACTATCTTGGAAAGCAGGTTCCAAAAATACCATCCACCCTCTCCCACCAGAGTAAAAGCTACTCCAGATCAAACATCTCTAATGAATAACACTAGTGTTAGTATATCATGAAGACAGAGCAGCTTTTTAATTAGCCTATTACACAGGCTTTACATCAAAATAGAGTAAATCTTTCTGAAAAAGAGATGTTAACTGGAAAAAAAGTCCTGAGGCAGATGCAGAAACAGTAACAGGCCTGAATTTCTAGCCTGTGCTGTGCACACTAGGTGCTCAAGCTGAGCCCTTCGGGATTTGAAGTCTATGAATGTGGTTTCTACACCATGTAGAACACTGCAAATCAGAATCAAGGTAGACACCCACACAACCCCCCACACTCCCCTGTTCTCTAAATATGTGAGTTCTATATTCTTGACGTACGGGTCTTTTAAATTTACTCTCTGTGGGCTGTTGCAGAAGTCATTATTCACTGAATTTATACATAAACCATCTTTCAAGTCCATTCCTATGATGCAAGATGCACATACATCTCACATGGGACTTCTGCCAAAGTTTCAGTATCAACCCACAAGAGAGCTGGCTCCATCAGCTTCCAAATGATCTCAAGAGGAGAGGAAGGTGCTAGACACTGCGCTGCAATTCAACAGCTATGAACTCCCTGCCAGGACCCACATACCTGTTCTGTTGTGTCACTGTAAGTGGGAGAATAATTCAGTTGTATTCATCATCTGAATGTTGAACCAAGAAAGAACAGTGTCAGCTCCAATTCCCTGCAGTTTGCCAGCACCCTGAAAGAAAGCCTGGAGCAAGGCAGCATCCCAAAGGCAGCTTTCTGTGGAGCGTGATGACAGCCCTTGACTGTCTACCCTGGTCCCATCACAACTGTCTGGTCAACAACCTGTGGACTTTACGTTTGTACCAATTGAAGTACTCAGCATATGCCTTTCTTGGGACTAAGAAAGCCTTTTAAAATATAACTAAGTATGTTGAAGTATTGGTTATCACTTTCTCTTTTTTGTCTGTACACTTTCTAAAATGTATCCACATCAAGCAAAAACATACAAGAAAAAAAGAAGAACAGAAACATCTGAAGGAAATGTGTGAGAAAATGCAGGATTGTAGCCCTAAGAAATGGGGGGGGGGGAAGATCCAGTATATTCCAGTGTTCTGAGTGAAAATTTATACTGTGTATGCAGTGTTGCTCACACACTGATGCATATTCATCCTCAGACTTGGACAATATTACAAATTATTAAATGCCTTCAACTCACTCAAATATAAATATCTTTACTTTCAACATCGCCACAAAGTACAAAACGTGGCCTATCAAGCTGACATTCCCAGTTGGTCTGGACATGAACTGGACTGCTTCTGATATGTATTTCACAGATTTCTACATGAATTAACACTTACTGCTCAACAGCAAACAAGCAGCAACTGCTCTGGGTCAGTGGGTGCTTTGCTGAAGTCAAGTCAAAATACATCCTACTCAAACAGGGAAAGGCATATTCCTTTGTATGCAGCTCGAAAAGAGGAAAATGACTGTTCCATGCTGGTGCTGTTACTATTGCTGGTGTGTTTATTTTTGAAAGCTTAAAGGTCTCTCAGTACGAAACTGAATTTAACAGAAGATACAACTTCATCACAGGTTCTAAATTAAGTATTGCCAAATGTTTATAAGTGATGAAAAACACAAGCCTAATAAACAGTTGCCACTGAACCCCTTCCAGCTAAGGGAATTAGAGCTGGCTTTGCTCAGTCTACGTAACTCTAGTCTTAAATCAATCTTTTCTTCTTTTGGTATGGAAATACAGCATTTCATTCCTACAGGATGCTGGTTGTTTCTATGTGCTCTCTGTTTTATCTCTATTAATAAATACCAAATATTATTACTGCAGATTCTGTAATTACTAGCTTTCTTAAGCCACATATTTTGCAAAATATGGGGCCTAATGAGACTGGCAAGCAAATAATAGGTGAATTTAAGAGACCCTCAATGTTTGAGGGAAGCTGTCATCACATGCATAACAAACAGAAGAAGATGCTAGAACAATTATCTGCATTCTCAGCTAATTCAACAGGTAAAAATGTCTGCAACTCATCTTTGCTAGGTAATTTTAATCAACTAAAGTTAAAATCATACTGCAGTGGGCACAATCAATGTTGAACACGGCAAGCATTCTAACTGGGACTGTGTTATTACAAAAGCTTTAGGAACCAACCAAAGGAGCTCAAGTGGTCATTTTGAAGATTTATTCCAAAGCATGAAATCAGGGCTGTGATCTTCAACATCTGGCAAACAGGCACTAACTTAACAAAAGTTGTTTGATGGACTTGGGTTACCACCTTGGGGATTTGATGTCTTGACAGCTTGCACAGCCTCTGGGGTATCCCTGTTAAAAAAAAGGTTTAACCTGAACCATGGCCAGTGCTCTGACAAAACACCAAATCCCTATCTCTGTCATCATGCTGCTGATGAGCATTTCCAAGTGACATCTAGTAAAAGGACTCGAGTCTGCAATGACAAAACGCAGGCTTGATGCTCAAGTACATGTTGGTTCCCTCCCAGTTCTTGCAGTCTAGAAAGACTGCCAGTAACTTTCATCTTGAATTGAGCCTTACTTTAATTCATAACACACTGGCTGGATTTCAATGCCACAGATTTGTATGTTACTGAGAAATTTCATTTTACTGGTGCCTGCATCAGTCCTTTTTGGTCCATTATCCTAGACACTGGTACTGCAGACACTAAGAGCATGTGCTCAGCTTTATGCATTGAGCCAAAAGATATAAGTCACAATAAGTGAAGTTAAGCATTTGTGTATATTGTTTACAGAAGGATGACTCTAAACTTTCATGCATATGTTGTAAGTTGATGATTTCAATTACAATTTTTATATTGCTTCTCAAAAAATTATCAAGTTCAAGCAACTCTGGCAGAATTATTCATCAAAACCAAAAAGCAGGGAGCGGAACATGCACTTCAGTTCTGCAATATAATTAACTGTAGTACCATTAAATATTAAAATATAGGAAAATGTTTTCACTGGTAATTAGTCATCCTAAAATCTGAGAGAAAACATCTTTTTTTACATTTATTTCTGCAGTAGAAAGAAAACAAGCTCTTCCACTTCACTCAAACTTAGTGATTCACTGTGACCCTTGTGAGTATAGAGACCAATTCACTTGTAAGATATCTAACGCTGGAGGGGTGCCAAAAACCCATCAATGCAAAAACATGTGCCAGCTGAACAAAGCAAGGTCAATCTATGTGAGCTCAGGAGAAAATCAGGGTGAGAACTTGGAGCTTTTCTATTTTCCTGACACATCAGGATTTGAGGACTGATTTGTGCTCTGCCAGAATGAGCTGACCGAAATGGAAATGAGAAAATTGAAACTATAGACCTCTATCTCACTTCAAGAGGATACATGAAATAAAGCTAAATTAATGACTCAGCCTTCTAAAATTTAAGGCTGAAATCATAGGGTGCTTTTGAATTCAATTTTGAAAATTTGGTGAGTGAAAGGAAAAGCATTTTTTACTTTTGAACGGCCCCGTAATATAAAATACTTCTAGAAGCTATTTTAACTTCCATAAAACACTATAGTTTAACAGCACATCCAGAATGGGAATTAATTATTTTGGCTAAGGTAGCAATAGGTTGAGCACTAAGGATCACTGACAATCATAAACAAGTAGGGTACAAATGTAAATAGAAAGGGCTCACAGGACTAATGAACTGACCCCATCCCACAGATGTTAAAAAGTTCATAAATCACTTTCCTGCACCGGGCACTTCAAGCTTAAAATGCTGTGACACCAACAATCAGGTTTGGATTTGGGTATTTAACTAGGTGTTAAACCAGAGAGATGGAGCTGGATACAGACATGTGAACCATAAAGATGGACTGAATCACAGGGTAAACTCCTTTTGTAGACCATACGGTGGTCTCATCACTGATGACTCCACAAAGATGCCTGGTTTCTCACCATTTTTCTGACAAAATCACGCACATGAGTAGTTTAGAAATAAATGCATTACAGTGGAAATATCTGACTCTGCTCCACCTAGTTTGGCTGCAAATCCGAGTAGTCCCAAATTCTGATGGATAAGGCTCTTTCTCACCAAACACTTCTCTGCTAAGGCTAGCAACCTAATAATCAGTAAATTATCACCCAGAAGAAGCACGAAAAGCATAATCACAGCCATTGAAAGGACATCCCCACCTAAAACAAGCATCAAAGAACAAGAAACAAAGAACAACAAGAAACACAAAACAACAGGAAACACAGAACAACAAGAAACACAGAACAACAAATACTTCAAAGAGAGCAAACTGAGTTCCCAAATGGAAACTCATGAACCCCAGAACTGGACACAACTTGGAAACCAGCAACTGTTTTGGCTCCTTCCTTGTGGAGTTGGGATTAAGAAGAGTAGTTTACAGGCTCTGATAGTTTCAGGTTGTTTCAAACAAATATCTCAGAACTTAAAAACCAGTATCAGTTTCTCAAAGATCAAAGCTATTAGTTATAAAACTGTGCTTTGGTTTTCA